AATATCGAACATGTATAACTTTGATCAATTTCATGCCTCTTTAAATGTGATTCCAACTAAACTTCGTCAACTTGACGCCCATAACAGCAACCTAAGCAAGGACATGTGATCCGACTGGGGTCTTTGGCATGTTCAACACCAAACTTAACGAATGATACCCCGTCCTCGTACTATTTTGACAATCGATTGGAAGAAATCTATTTTTTATCCATGGTTTTTACTAAGTAAGCTAAACAAAAACACTAATTATTCACGCAACTATAGCTACCGGACAATTATAGCAAACACGCAAATTCAGTCACACTTAATGTTTTAACTCAAGTAAGTCACAAAAAATCTTCAATTCGAGCATAAATCAATCACCAAAATTATCAAATCCACATTTAAATTATCAAATATAACAACTTCATCACTTAAGTTCAAACAATCAACAACACCACAATATTCAACAATTTGTTCACGAATGTCATTCAAGTTTCAATCAACAACATCACCAATCATAAAAAATAAATTCACAATGTCATCACTATTCACCATCTTCAACCTTAACCATTAACAATTAATGTCATTATCATTTTCAATCAAAAATTCGATCAAAACAAAGTAATTATCACTATTCATCATCACTAACATTCAACATTAACTTATAAAATTATTAACACCAAAACTCAAAAGAAATTCACCACAAATATCACTATTCATCATATTGAACCTTATTACAACAATGGAATTCAAACTTCCGTTGAAGTCAAATAACAACAACATCACAATGTAAACAAATAAACAAATAAACAAATACCATGCAAATAACCTTAAAAGTGAAGAAAATGAAGAAATACCTTCAAAAATGGTGGAGCGCGGTCTCCGGAGTCGAACAAAGGGAGAAAGAGATGACTGTAGACAAAGGATGCTACGGCAGAGAGAGACTCACAGCGACAGAAGCACGGCTGGACGGAGGAAGAAACGACGGTTGGAGGTCTGATAGGATTCATAACAGTTCGTCTGAGAGTGAGAAAGTGAAACAGAATGCGTGCAAAGATGAAATATGAATTCTGTTTTAATTTTAGAAAAATAACCTATAGCAGTGCTTTTTAAAAGCGCTTACTTTCCCCCAATAACAGTGATTTCCCTTAAAAAGCGCCTTCATATGCTAGCCCTTTAGCAGCGCTTTTGAAAAATGTCGTCTAAGGTGTGATCTAGACACCCCCTATAACATCACTTTTTTAAAGCGCTATCTAATGTTGGGCTTTAGCAGTGCTTTCTAGAAAGCATTTTCTATTGGTTACTTATGTATGACCTTTAACAACGCTTTTCAAAAGCGCTTTCTAAAGGCATACTTTAACAACGCTTTTTTACCTTATTTTTTTTAAAACTTTTAACAGTGCTTTTGGGGAAAAGCGTTGTTTTTGTAGTGCTTCCAAAAAGCACTTTTGGCATAGTGATAGGAGGTACAAGCAATTTGAACAAGAATATTAGGCTTGTCACACCAAACTTATTGATGATGCCTTTGAAACTTCTCATTCCACTGGGGATAGATATGTTAATGTTGTGTTTGTCTACCGTACAATTTACAACAGTATGAGGGAATGGAGGAGACAAAATTAATGCACTGGTAAACATGTGTGATAGGATGTTGGGACTTGTTACCTAACATTGTGAATTATTTATTTTGACTAGGAGTAACACACATATTATTTGAATTCAATGGCTCACCAGTATATATAACACCTTTCATGTCTTTGATGTGTGTAGTGAAAGTCACATCACTATTTTCTTGATTAGATTCACCTTCCTCATCATTAGTGACATTGTAGATTTTTCTTTATTTCCTTGGAAAACTTGAGCATTCAACTTGAATATGTCCAAAATTTTTGCATTTAAGACATTGGATCCAGTTGAGATTTTCACCAAATATTCCTCTTCGCTGAAAGTTAACCTCTTGAAATCGAGTTGCTGATTATCTTGAGCATTTGTAGAGACATTGTTCCCAGATCTCATATCTAGTTTTCTCATGACTTTACAAAATATCTTAGCAAGCCTGAGATTTTCTTTAGTATCATAATCCACTTGTTCTTCATAATCTTTGTAATCAACTCTATTTTTTTTAGGATTCTTAATATCATAAATAATATTTGGTTGATGAACTGCTTCACCTTCTTTGAATTCTCCATCTTGATCAAAATAAAAACCTTGTAACACACCCAAATAGAACAGGGTGTCTGTTCTGATGCCAATTGAAATTAGGTTCTTCGCGAGACAGATGTTGGACACGATGTCTGAGACAATGTGTACAACATGCTTATAGCAGATTAAAAGATTACATAAATTAAATAAAAAGCAGTAAAGAACACTGAGGATTATTAACCTAGTTCGGTGCAACATCACCTACGCCTGAGGGGCTTCCCACCCAAGAAATGAAATTCATTCCTAATAGTATTAGTATAAATAATCTTAGATGAACAAACCTTATTCAATGCATCTCTTCCTAATAATACACATGTCTTTCTATTCAGGACTCTATATAGAACGACTCCACTCCCAATAGTCTGAAGCACAAATGGGCTTACTTTGAACTCTCCCAGTTCAAGGTCACTTTCAAAGTGCTATCCATGAAGATTCATTCAGACTCATTCAAACACTCTCATTGTTTTTGGATAATTACAATAATAAAATGGATGGTATAACAACCTTAAACCTCTATACTCTATTCGACTAATTTAGATTTTAGGCCCATGAATAGAGTGTGCAAAATACAAACAAAAACAAAGAGTCAACTAAAATAAAATTCTTCTAATGAGTAGATATTTTCTCTTGAGGTCTCAGTATTCACAAAGGATTTAGGTCATGAATTGACTGGATTTCTAAAAAGCACATGAAATCAATCTTTAATAACGATGATTACCAATCTTAATTGATCTCATTGATTAAATTTGAATATCTTGAGTATTCTTGATGTATTTGATTTATATCACATCCTCTAAAAAAAAATCATAATCAATCAAATCTTTATTAGGAAGAATGAGATCCTTGATTAATACAAAGTAATAGTCTGAGACAGATGTCACATATATCGTGGAACATTTGACCTGACATCTATTCACGTAACACAATTATGAATCTTGAACGAATCAAATAAAATATTTAATTGATATAAATCACAATTCTAACCTCTCAAGTAAAGGATTCAAAATAAAACTCTTATAAAAAACTGAACCACACTTTAAATCATCTTTAATAGAGATTGAAAATTTTAAAAACAAATTCAATAAGATCTCTTCGTGGAATATAAATATTCAATCAATATATTTGCATATTAATTTCAACACAATCTTGAATAAACTAAATTTGAAACAAATCTTCCTTCAAAGCATATTTAAATAAATCTTTTCTTCAATGCAAACCCAATCAGATCAAATCTTCTTATTCAAACCAAATTCAAATCTTTTAATTAAACTAAATCCAAATCTTCCTTCAAAGCAACAAACAATGTTTAACCGCTCGAATGCGACATACACATCATTCACGAAAACCAATCAACCAACAAATATTGCTATAAAGAACAACATATCTTTGAGTTTCCCATCGCACCTGGGGATTCATAGGAGCGAGATTCAACGTCTTGTCAAACACTCTAATAAAAACTTAATTTTAGTTTTTTTAAGTATCTCACAATAATTAGAAGAAATCATAAACATTACGCTAACACTCTTATTCGCAAAGCTGACTAAAAGGTGTCTGTTGAGTACAATAGATATGTGAGTTGCTAATACCATGCCCACATATAATCTACTCTTGAACTCAAATTTGGTTGCGACGACTATATTTTTGTTCTTTTAGAGTTTTATCGACGTTTTTTCTTTAAAAAATAAATTTCGGTGACAACTCTGTTGTATTTCGAGCGTTCGCACGCTTTAGTATTTTATGCACCGTGACAATAAGTGAGGTCAATTTCAATGTCTCATGTCATATGTTTGGTTGACAAGTGGAACAGAACCAAATAATTGATTTTTTTAAAGGCTATTAAAAAGTTAGAAAAATTAATTAGGAGGAAACTAAAATTGCATTTCATCTAGGGCTGGAAATGAGTCGAGTTGAGTCGAACTCACCTCAGCTCGGCTCGACTCATTAAGAATTAGTTCGAGTTCGAGTTTGACACGAACTATTTTTTAAGCTCAAACTCGACTCGTTATAAGTTCACGAACAGTTCGGTTCAACTCGTTAGGTTCATCTCATTAGGTTCAGCTCACATGATTCACGAACTTAAAAACTATTTTTTTAAATATATATTTTTTTTAGTATATTTGACATTTTAAATAAATAAATATTTTTAAAATAAAATATTAAAATAAAATAAAAGTTATCATATTGAAATTTAACTTTATCTTCGAAATCTATTAATTCAAAACCTACACAACTTTCAAGAGATACATTTGAGAGTCTAATTCAAAAACTACTAAATTGAAGATTAAATTTTTCTAAGATTTGGAGTAAATATTTAAACCTAATCTTAAAGACAATATAATTCTTCTCATATGTAATCGAGTTGACTCATGAACCTAACGAGTCGAACTATGTATAGTTCAACTCATTTAGTTAACAAACTTAATTTTTCGCTGATACTCAACTCATTTGGTTCATAAACCTAGTTCAACGATTTAATTGTTGAATCGAATTCCGAACTATTTTCGAGTTGATTTGATTCATTGTCACTCCTAATTTCAACCATAATTGAAAGAAAGTAAACAAGAGATATTTGGTGAAGTCGTGTTCAAATAGTACATAAAAGATTCATCTCCTTTTTAACAAAACATAAATGTTAATCTTTCATTTAAATTTGTAATACCGTAAAAGTTCTATCATATAAGAAATTATACAAATAAAAGTATTAATTAAAAAAATAATACCTCATTTTATTACTTTATACAAATTTCTAACACTTTATGTGTTACAAATACTACATTGTATTGCTACCTTTTTCATTTACATGATATTTACGTCTTTTACTTGGTCTCCATTTTCCATTTCAAGTACCTTTCTACAATGTCTAGTCCACTGAGTTCCTTTACCACAGGCATGGTTGCAGGGACCCCCAATTGAAATGTTGAATCTGATTCATCTAAGTTGCTCCATGAATGAAGCTGTTTCCTGGCTTCTTTGACGGCTGCTCTTGTGGCACAGTGAACTGAAGCTGCCAGAAGCAAGGGTGGCTCACCAGATGCTGCACCAACAGATATATTTAGTCTAACTCATTCTTTCAAGCATATGTTATATTCATTATGGGAAAAAACAAATGTGCAGATCAAAGTTTAATACTACATTTTGGAAAAGATTTTGAACATACCCTTTGAAGAGAGAACTCTATGTTGGTTATGCTCACTGTTGAGGATTTCAACATTAAACTGTTGAGGAATTGTGTCTATTGTTGGGATTTTGTAGTTCCATGTGCCATCTGCCAACACCAAACCCTCAACATTTGTTTCATATTCTTCAAGCATAAAAAAGCCTAACCCTTGTATGAAAGATCCTTCAATCTGCAAAATGCAATTATGGGATTATCAAAGGAGTCATGTTGCTGCGGTTATAATATGAAATTACGGAGACATGTTGTGCCTTCGCCAACCTTGCAGAAAAGGCCTCGCCAATGAATCATTTACACATATACGAACACGTAGATAACGGTAATAATTTAAGAAAATTAAAGTGAATGAAAGTAAGCACATGCGTCAGACACTAGGTCTACTGTTAATCAAAAGTGTGAATGCTGTATGGGTCATTCAATATGTGTGTGTATGTGTGTGCGCGGGGGCTTGGTTGTATTACCTGTCCTAAATCCACGGCAGGGTTGAGACTTTGTCCACAGTCATAAATAATATCTGTTTGCAGTAATCTTGTTTCACCTGTCAAAAGATCTATTTCCACCTGCGAAACAATTTCAAGTATTTATCATAGCATTCTATCATAATTTGGTTCTTTTAGCATTGAAGGAAAGTACTAACATTTTGATTTGTGGTATTATGCATAAGAAACAAACTCACCTCACTAACTGCCGCACCATAATTGAGGTAACTCTTGGAACTATTACTAGGTACATAATATGAAGATGCTGATAAATTCACAGCTTGCATGGATGCCTATAAATTAAGAAACCGTTAGAAAAACAGTAATTAAATATTGAAAGTAGAGCTCTTTTGTTTTACAATAGTATTACCTGAAGAATAAGATCCTCCCACTTGATAGAACTCATTTTCTCTTGAAGCGTTTTCTTGATAGGTTTTAGTCTTTCAACCAAGATATTGCAGCTAAGCCTAATAGCTTCACAACTTGCCTCTGATGTAGTGCTACCAGCAGTTAATCCCCCTTGAATCATGCTCAATGTATCAGCTTGCACAACCCTTACTTTATCCAAGAGACTTTCACTTCCATCGCATTGAATTGTACCGAGCGCGAACGCAGCCATTTGTTTCACCTTTGTCCATAAACCCTGACCCAGTTCAATTCCTCCAACTTCAACAACAACTGAACCGTCCGATAAAATACTAACTTTTCCCGGAGTTGGTCTTAGGTTCAGCTCATACACCACGGGAACACGAGATATTCCCCTTTTCTTCCAAGTGTTAACACTGTTAAACTCTTTCACTTTGTCTACTCTCAGTTCATAGTTTGCAGAAACACCTATCTTGTGCCATATTAAAGGCATGGTATATTCAAGAGGTTCGCCATGACAGTCCTCATAGAATTCCGTAAGACTTGTGTATGTGTGAAGATTGATGCTTCTGACAGAATCTGCTTCCATTGAAAGTGTAGCTGCAACTTTTTCTATTATACCTTCTGCGATGAACGATCCTTGTAAATCCCCGGGGGCCCTCATTGCAGATCTACTAGGATGATTTGTTTTGCATAATTTTACATCCAAATGGAGAGCACCCCAGTCATACTTTCTAAGCGTGGCAGATATGTTGCGTGGAATTATCACGCTAACATCGGAGTAAGCCCCGGCGTTGACCAATATCTCAAGGTGTAATGCAGTAATCTTCCCGTTATTCTTAAACCCTACACTGTATGTTATCTTCATTGGATGCCTTCCTCCAACCATTATCATATCTGTCTTTCGATTTAGATATATCCTCACCGGTCGCTGTAATTTGTGCGCTGCAAGTGCACAAGATACAGCACCCTGCAAATGACATCATTTTATGCTGGTAAGTAAATAGCATGAATAACACAGATCAGTAGTCTGATCGATGACTTACCGCTACAGATTTTACGCCCTTTCCTCCGAAGCCTCCTCCAACTCTTCTTGTAATTACTCTAACATTATTTTCAGGAATACCAAGGCATCTGGCTATAGTAGAATGTACAAACTCAGGGCTTTGACTTGAACAGTAAACAGTAAAGCAATTGTCTTCATCTGGTACAGCGAGCGCGGTTTGCGTCTCCATATAGAAATAGTATTGAGATCCAAGTTTCATCTGTGTTTCATTGATAGATAATGACGATGAATAAGTTTGCTCAATAAACAATGATATTCATAACTCAGAACCACAAACAAATTTAGTATGCGCATGTACCTCGACAGAAAGAATCTTGTGATCTGCTTCAGCCATTCCTTTTGATACATCACCAACTTGATTTTTTGGAAGTAAAAATGGAGGAACTTCAAAAAAACTAGATCTTTCAACAGCATCTTCAACACATAGGATAGGTGGTTCAAGATTTTCAATACTGTAATCAACCAAAGCTGAATTTGCAGCCAAATCTGCAAGTTTTTGAGTATCTGCAACCTAAAGAAGCCATTTGGAGACAAAATATAAGTGATACATGTATGAACACATAATATCATACATTTTGGATCAAAAAAAGGGATTTAAGAACTCACAACAAAGGCAAGACGTTCGCCAACACATCTAGCAATCTCTTCAGCAAATAAAGGTTCTGCACCAAATACAGTCTTCATCCCAAGGTTCTCCCCACCATTGGGAATGTCTTTACTTGAAAGGATGTCTCTGACTCCATCATGTTCCGATTCTTGCCTGAGTTTTATGCTTGTTATCCTTGCCAATGGTTTCTCACTATAAATATATGCTCCATGTAGGCAATTTGGTGGTGATGGAATGTCATCCACAAACACGGCCTCACCTATATGACAATATGTATATGTTACTGAATACATACAAGAACAAGATCAATTAAATATGAAACTGTCATCAGTATGTAATTCAAAACAAACCTGAAGCTTGTATCGCAGCACCAGATTTTACGACTGGCTTGCCAATTGAACTATACTCACTATCTGCTTCAAGGATTTGCTTACCCGACGACAATAAAGTAGGAACCATGTTATGCTGAGCCTGCTTCTGATTTTCTTTTATATCAGAAGCCTTGACTGAAGGCAAATAAATATGTCCATTTAAATTACCATTGTTTATTCCTGAAAGACTGTCAATGAGTTTGTTAAAGAACTGAAAAAGAAAACCGACTGCCAAACTTGACAGGTAATCATTTTTTGTGGTTTCATCTTGAGGTATAATAGCAGTGGCAGTAGCTGTAAGCAAGTTGATTGCATCATACAGGTTTCTAACACTTAACAACTTTCCTACTAAAAAATCCTCAACATTTTCAGCTCGAAATGCATGCTTATTCACAAGACCGCCGAAAGACAACCTACAAGTCTGTATCATGGTTCCATCGCTATCCTTGCATGGTGTCACCTGAACAAGGAAAGCAGCATTTAAGTAGGAAAGCGCATTTCCAAGCGGTCGAGGAGAGGCTCGGTAAGTTTCAAAGATAAATCTATTTCTTGGTTCCGAAGATTCACTTTTAATGAGTTCTAAACTTGGAATCTTAATGCTTAATAGTACACTTTCTAAACCTAACGGCGGTCTCTTCAGAAACTCCTCCAATGCAAGCCATTCATATTTTTCGCCGGTCAATATGTGAACCATTGAATCCGCAGCTAGAAGTATGGTAGCGATATCCGAAGGAAAACGATTCTTTTGCGCCATCACCAAATTTCCACCTACACTTGCTGTATTCCGAATAAACCCCGTCGCAACTTTGTTCATATGATCAGCAATCTTTTCAAGTATCATTTGAAAATCTGAGATAAAGTCACTCTTGCTTTCTTCCTTTAGTACTGCAATGGCTTTAGATATTGTCACTGCTGCTCCAATTTCAATCCCGGATCGATCCTTTTTGATCTTTGAAAGCCCAGAAATTCCACTTAGATCAATATACTTATCATAGCCATGTTTATCTTTGTAATATCCCATGCCAGTGTTACTAACAACAATTTTTACCTTGGTTTCATTGGCATTGTTTAATTTCATTAAACTCTGAAGCTCTTTTAAACTAGAGGGTTTGTGCCAACGTTGTTTATCAGAAGCTAAGAACAAGTCATGTTTGACATCCTTCAAAAACATAGGAAATTTGATGCTTCTGTGATCGGGATCATATCGAGGCAATTTACTAAGCTTCAAGTCCTTGCTCTCTCCTTTTCTCCAGAAAGAGTTCAACCCGAGATCTTCCATATCAACATCAGCTGCAAAACTTTTGCATGCATCAGCAATCGGTCGGTAACCAGTGCATCGACAAAGGTTACCTGCAATAGACTTCTCAGCCTCAGAAACATTGATTTTTGAAAATCCAGCTTGTGGCTCTGGAGAATTTCTCTTGTCAGCATTGACAAGAGCGCCGAAGAGGGAAACAGACATTCCAGGAGTACAAAAGCCACACTGAGAAGCATGGAATCCTGCGAATCTTTGATGAATAGGATGGAATCCTTGTTTGCTATTTCCAATACCTTCACTTGTTGTTATTGAACATCCATGTATGCTACAAAGTAGCGTGAGGCAAGAGTTCGCGGTAAAATCTTCGACTCTATCGAGTAAAGGATCATATTTAGAGATTAAAACAACACAAGCACCACAACCACCTGCAACCAACAATACCAAACAATAAGTTTCAGGTTTCTATATTTAAATCTGGTATTATATTTGTTTCCTCTGATTTGTTTATTTCGCAAAGTCAACATTCAGAATCCTAAAAAGTACTATTATATTGAAACAGAAAGAAAGGAGAATTCATGTATCAAAATTGCTGAAACTTATTAAAAACATAGAAAGTCAAACATAGAGAAAAAATAATAGTTATCAAGTCAGTTTCCAAAGGATGATAGAATATATTATACCTTCACCGCAAGCGAGTTTGACACTCTTGAATCGAGTTTGAGTGCGCAAGAACTCAAGCAAAGTGATTGATGGTTCCACTTTGGATAGCTCAAACTTTTCACCATTGATGACAAAAATCAAACTAGTTTGATTCTCACTCTTCTTCACATCCATACTTCAATAGCTGATTTCAGTTTCAGACAGATGAAACTTGAAAAACACTTATCTGTTAGTATAATATTGATTTCTACTTGTGTTTGTATTATATGGCTAAGACTTTTCTGCGTTTTTTTTTAAAGAAATAGTAACATTTTAGAAAGTCGTGGTTTGAGGTGAACCGTTATATATGATAATGAGTCTTGTTTTGTTTTGTACGAGAGTTTGTCAAAATATGAAAAGGATAGATTCATTCGAAGGGTAAGTAGAAGAAAAATTAGTTGCACGTAAGAACCAAGAAGCAAGGTGTGTGCGCTATCGTCCTTGACTTTGGTGGTTCCATTCAAAGACATTAAGATCAACAACAACAAAAAAACCTTACTCATTAGTGTTTACTTACTTCTTACGTATATTAATATTGTCCACTAAATATAGATGAAATTTGATTAATTTCTTATCTGTTTGTATACTATTGATTTCTACTTTTGTGTTTCTATAATCTGGTTAGGGTTGTTCAAAAAATTCATAAAATGATCTTAAAAACTCGAACTGTTTTTTTTTGGTTTAGGAGCTGAATCACAAATTATCAAACAATTCAATAATCAAACTGAATTGTTAACCGAAACAAAGTTTATTGAACTGAAGTACTATTATAGTTAATTATATTAAAATTTTGGTTTTTTTCTCTTCAAATTAACTTTATTTTTAGGCAAAATACTCTTTTTGATCCCTTAATTTTATACTTAGATTTAGATTGATCCCTTAATTACCTTTTGTGTCATATTGATCCCTTAATTATTTAAAACGTATTATATTTATCTTTTTTGTCTAATTAGCAACGGAATTTTAAATTTTTTCGTCGTTAATTAGACGAAAAAACCAATATGACACGTTTTAAAGAGTTAAGGGATCAACCTGAAACAAAAAAATAATTAAGGGACCAATCTAAACTTAAGAGAAAGAAAAGATATTTAACCATATTTTTAACATTAAAGTTTATTTTAAATATTAAAAGTTAATTATTTTTAAAATTAGTTTTTTAATAATAATAATATTTAATATTAATTTCTTGTATGGGTGATGAGTATAATAAAAAAATGTACTGCATGTAAAGAAAAATTGTTTTTCACGTTAATTTTATTATTCTGTCTCTTGCATGTGTTCAAATTTTCCATCATATATATTTGTTTTAAAATATCATATATAGTGTTAATGGTTCTCCCTCCATCTTAAAAAATTGCATAGTGTGTTGACAAATCACTTAATTAATTATGAATGGCTTTTGAATTGGTAAAGAAATTTGTTTATATATATAAAGTCTAAAATGAATTTTTATTAAAAAATTAAAAAAAATTATAATTAGCTCTATTCACTAGTTACTAATAATTTGGTATGATTCAGAATTACGAACCAGTATACTAAATCAAATGTTTGGTTCAGTTCAATTCTAAACAAATTTAAACGATTTAGTTTGGTTCTTACGATCTTTTCATATAATTCAATTCAGTACAATTTCATTAAACTATACTATAAACAATTTGAAATTTGACTAAAATTTTCTGCTTTATTTTAAGGAAAAAGATGTTTTTAATTTATAATAATAATTTATAAGTGTGTTGCATAGTTTGTCAAAACATGAAAAGGATAGATAGTTATGAATGGTTAGTAGAAGAAAATTAGGTGCACGTAACAAGCAAGGTGTGTGTGCTACCGTCCTTGACTTTGGTGGTTCCATTCAAAGACATTAAAATCAATAAAAAAGAAAAAAAAACCTTACACATTAGTGCTTACTTACTTCTTACGTATATTAATATTGTCCACTAAATATAGATGAAATTTGATCAATCTCTTAATTATCACAATATGCGCACGGATATTTTAGTTTATCAATTTTAAAAACTTGTATAAGTTTATTGATAATAGATAAATTTATAATGAATAATGGATAAACTAATCGATTATATTTGAGAAAAATATGGTTAAGAATGTAATTTTTTATATCGAAATATCTATGTGTCAAGTTGTATTAGTGTGACGAAATGTCGAAACAGGTTGCTTCACACATGATTTCGACTTAGACTTATTTTAGTAATGTTAGTTATTTTAGGCTTTTATAGTTTTAGGCTTTGCTTTAGGGTGCAAGCTAACCTAAATCTATAAATAGGGAGTAACTATTATTTTGTATACAACTCTCACAACTCTTAACATTGTATTCATAGAATTTGCAGTTGCAAGTAATTAAGAAATTTTAGTCTAGAAGTAAAGAGAAACTCTACAAAATATTCATTATTCTTCTTCTCCAACGTTATTTTCTTTTTTTTTTCCTCAACCTTTTCTTTTCATTGTCATTGTGTGATTGATAACAATCTTGAGATCAAGATTGAGCAAAATTCTCCATAGATTGTGGTTGAATAATACTAGCATATCTTAAGGGAAGATGCTAACATAATTACAGGTAAAAATATTGTTGTTCTCGACTAGATCAAAGGTCAACTCGCATAGTATTGGGCCATTAGGCTGTGGGAATCGAATTCCTTGGCATCATATTTTCTTGGCATCGAATTCTATAAGAGTGGTAGAGGTTTAATGATGCACCAAAGAAGATATGCAGGCGAAATACTCAAGAGATTTGAGATACAAGATTACAACTCAACATCGACTTCAGCTGAGACCGAATTGCAACTGTCGAAAGATTCAGATGAAGATAATGTTGATGCAACCCAATATAGAAGACTTATTGGGTCACTTCGATACTTTTGTCACACATGGACTAACTTAGCATACAGTGTGGGTATGGTAAGTATTTTATACAGAAGCCAAAGGTATCACACTTAGCAGTGACGAAGAGGATATTGAGGTATCTAAAAGAAACTCTCGACTATGGCATTTTGTTTCCTACAGCTGATGAAAGAAAAGAATGCAAGATAGTAGGGTACACTAATTCAAGTTGGTGTAGTGATCCTGAGGATAGAAAATCCACAACTGACTATGTGTTTATGCTAGGTGGTGCACTAGTTGCTTGGAGTTCAAGAAAGGAACTAGTAGTGACATTGTCGTCATGCGAAGTAGAATACATAACTACTTCTCTTTGTGCATTTCAAGCAACATGGATGGTGAACCTGGTCGGAGAAATTACAACAAAGAGTCATGGAGCAATTACCATGAAGATCGGTAGCATGTTAGATATCAACCTGGCGAAGAATTCAATAGCACATGGTCGAAGCAAGCACATTGAAATGAGGTTCCAATATCTTCGAGAGCTGGTAGCAGAATAGAAGATGAACTTGGAACACTACAGTACTGTGAATCAGATTGCAGACATCATGACGAAGGGAGTACAGGTTGAAGTGTTCAGAAAACTAAGAGCTATGATGAATATAAATAGTTTAGACACAATGAATTAGGTAGTGTGTTAAGAATGTCATTCTTTGCGTCGAACTATCTATGTATCGAGTTGTATTAGTGTGTCGAAGTGTTGAAACAGGTTGCTTCACATAAGATTTCGACTTAGACCTATTTTAGTAATGTTAGCTATTTTGGACTTTTATAGTTTTGCGCTTTAGCTTAGGATGCAAGTTAACCTTAACCTATAAATAGGGAGTAACCCTTATTTTGTATACAACTCCCACAATTCATAACATTGTATTCAAAGAATTTGCAGTTGCAAGTGAATAAGAAATTCCAGTTTAGAAGCAGAGAGAAACTCTGCAGAATATTCATTCTTCTTCTTCTCCAACGTTATTTTCTTTCTTTCTTTCTCAACCTTTTCTTTTCATTATCATTGTGTGATTGATAATAATCTTGAGATCAAGATTGAGAGAAATTCTCCGTAGGTTGTGGTTGAATTCCAACAAATACTAACATATCTTAAGGGAAGATGCTAACATAATTACAGGTAAAAACATTGTTGTTCTCGACTAGATCAATGGTCAACTCGCATAGTATTGGACCATTAGGCTGGGAATCGAAGTGAACTAGGAGACAAGTGTTGTCAAGAAAGATTTTAGAGCCATTGATCAGGCCTAATGGTGGAAATTGGTAAGGATTAGTAAAAGAATTGTGAAAGAATAATTGAGATTAACTCTAGTAAGGTTGAAGTAAGAGGAATTGAGTAATTTAAAATGTTGAAATAAGGGCAATTGAGTAACTCCATGAGCAAGTATGTGAGAGGAAAAACAAATTGGGCAAGATGCCCTGAAACAATTCATCACATGCATGTTAGTGTTTCCTTAAAACTTCCTTAATCTTTTGGAAATCTAAGACACAAAACATTGTGGTCAGATCATCCACTAAGACTGAGTATCAGGCAATATATTTCCTAATTTGTAAAATTTAATGGTTGCATCAATTGAATAACAATCTTGGTATTTTAACCATTGATCCTGCTTCTAACTACAGAGATAAAAAAATCTACCATCTAACTTGCTCACATCAAGCCCACAGAATCGATAAAGCCCTTGAAACACTCTTCATGATGCCCAATTTCGGTTCATGGCCATCCTCTAAAACATTCAACTTCGTTCTTAATCTCTTGGTCAATAACAAACTACACGACGCCGTTTTCAATCTTTATTCTTCCGCTTCCAAGTTAGGATTCCAAATCGACGCTTGTTGTCTTAATATTATGATTAAAGGGTTGTGCAAACAAGGAGAGATTAAAGCTGCCTTTAAGGTGTTCGACGAATTTCCTAAACTGGGGATTCAACGGAATGAGAGAACTTTTTGTACGTTAATGCATGGGTTATGCGAGAAAGGGGATGTGGATGAGGCTTTTGAGTTGTTGGAGATGATGAAAAGGGAAAAGATTTGTGTTGATGTTATGCTTTTCAATGTTTTGATTTGTGGGTTGAGGAAAAAAGGGAGAGTGGATGAAGCCAAAGAGGTTTTGGAAGATGTCATGATGAGGAATGGGTGTTTCCCTAATGAGAGTTCTTATCAACATGTTTTGTATGGGTTGATTGATTTCAAGAGATTTGGTGAGGCTAAAGAGGTGGTTGAGAACATGGTTTTGAAGGGTT